GGGGGGTTGCAAGGCGGGGGATAAAGCCGTAAATTAAAATCTCGATGCGTTTGCCGTGGTCACTTATAAATGTAATGAGCGGTTAGGTGTAAGAGAGCGAAAAAAAAAATGAAAAAAAAAAAAGGTAAAGAATTTAATTGAATTTCCCGCGTACGAACGGGCGTACCGTCGATTATAAATAATATTCTTAATTAAAGAAGGTTCCGGTTAAAGGGTGTAAAGGGTATTCCTCTCGTGTGCACGGAATCTTTACGCAAATCGTGTTCCGCGCACACACTGCACGCACGCACTTAATCTACTATACGCTCCTGACCCTCGTAATCGAATCGTTTGTAATCAGGATGAACGCTTAAAAAAGGGGAAAAAATATTACACGGAATTTTAGTGATCGCATCTCTCTAGTTGGGTTTGTCGCGATGTGTATCCAATTAACGGACGATGGTAATTAAACGCGTAATCGAGCAAATCGGTGTTCGCCAATAAAAGCAGCGGAGAAATATTCAAACGTAAAGGAGGACGTTCGTAACGCGAAAACGACGCCGATCGCCGACAATCAATAAGACGCGGTGAGAAAAATAAAAAATATATATGTATAGTAGAATCGAAGAAATCACGAAGATTACAATTATTGCCAAGTATTGGCATTGTGCCGTCTTCTTTTTATTGGCGCTGGAGTAGAACGGCGAAGTGGCGAAGCGCACTGCGCGCCGCATTTCCACAATATTTTTCACTCTTTTTCGCTTTACTTCGCTCTGTAGAAATTCTGGCCGCCCCTCGGTACCGTTCTCCTTGCAGCTTTGTCGCCAAATATTATATCACAGTTAGCACGCCGCAATACTCGCTTTCTTTTTTTTTTTTTTTATTCCCTCGTCGATCCGCGACGTTATATACAATTTTTTTCCCCTGGCTCTCTTCCCACGAACGGAAATAACCACTCTGAACGGCCACCCAATATCCAAACGTTAAACCCTTGTTCACCTCAAACGCCACTCGAACACGGATTTGCTCGCAATTTTTATACAGCGGATTCTCTTTTTCAAATCTCGCGCGCACTGTTCCCTGTTATTCGCCTTTGTTATGTTCCGTAGCCATTATCACTCTTCCTCTCTTTCTGCTCTCCATGCATATCGTACTCCTCGCGCAAAATCTCGCACTGGCAGTCTCTCTCGTTAATAGTTGCCGGTATTCATTGTTGGATAATAAAAGTAATATTAAAAAAAAGCCAGGCTGGTTAACCGGACAAAAATGGATCATCATGATAAGCCTCCCATTGGATCTCTCGCCCCGATCTTTTACGACGTATTATAACGATTGTTTACTGCAGAGCTTAGACGGCGTGACAAAAAGAAAGATAAATATAGAGCGAAAAATACGTAACCATTGGAAAATAAAAAAAAAAAGAGAGAAAGAGTTACAGCTGCAAGTAGAACTGGGCGTTACGAACTATAGGCGCTTCTCGCCAGGAGTTTTGATGCGACGAAAAACTATCCTAATAACGGGTGTATTTAATTATTAAAAAAAAAAGAAAGAAAGAAAGAAACTACAGAGAACGCGCGCGCTCGTTACTCTAGAGAATCCAGCAGGTTCCACTTTGTTTTCCTGGCTCTCGTATCGAGTGTTACGGTAGTACGATAGTAGAACGTGTACGTGGTGTGTTGTATCGTGTTGTAATATGAGTGTATAAATTTTGTTGATGTATAAGTGTCAGTGTTAAGAGTGTATGAATGTACGCGGCGTATGTGTCATATGTGGATAGAAGTGTGAATTATACGATAATCTAAAATACATAAGTTTACATCTTTATACACGGCGTGTAGTAGAATCGTTAAACGCATTTACGTATGGTATATATATATATATATCGTGTCGCGTGTGTATTGCGAGCGATTTAGCGGCCGTAATGGACGGCGGCAGCTTCAAGAGGTCCTCGTGAACGTCGTCCTCGTCGTAAAGACTCCTCCGAGTATACACGTTTCCATCAGCATTATCAATGTTCTGTATATATATATCTCTTTCTCTCTTACTTACTTACTTTTTCACACTCAGTCACGCATCATCACACGTTCTCACTGTATACCTCCACGTTGCGTCACTCGTTAACGTGGTGGAGGTATTACGTCTCAGACTAAAGAAGAAGTTGGACGTCGTAGAGGAGGAGTCCGTACTGGCGTACTTGTGGGTCCGTCGCTGCCGTTGTCTTCTTATTAATCGCCTCCATAAAATGGTGACCATCGGCTTCGTCGTCGATATAAACGTCGACGTCGTGATCGTCGCCGTCGCCAATGCCACCACCGCCATCGTCGCCGACGATTGGATATCAGGCCTGGACGTTAAGAATCATCTTAAGATGATCGGAGATGTCGCAGATCCTCTCGGAGGATTGGTGGCAGCCCGCCATAAGCCTGGTTGTCCAGTGGCTGGGTGGTTTTGGTAAACTGGCAGGCGAGGGTGGCTCCGAGAATTTTGCACCGGCGTAGAAGCTGTTCGTTGGACTTCCACGTGGACTCTCGTAACGTAACGGAGAGTTCCTTAGATTTTTTGACGAACATGGTGGACTACAGCTCAGCCTACCGCTAGAATTACGAGAATGTCGCGATCCTCCCGAAAAGTAGGTCGAGGACTTTATACTACCGGTGGTACGATGATGTCGTTTACTACCGGTGTTGGGCGAACCTTGTCGCTCCACCTTGTCGTTGAGCTTGGGTGTGGAATTGGTCATGGTTCAGATATGCCGTTTTTTCTTTTTTTAAGTTAGGCCGCCAAACGGGCTTCCAGCCTCCTTCTGTGAATCACGAATGAGATAGTAATGCGATGGAGTCTGTCTTGACGCGGTCCCCCCTCTTTAAATGTCACTCACAAATCACTCGCGAAAGAAAACACAAACTCACTGATTTTGCGGGAGACGCTAACTGCGCAGTAAGCGCAAACTGCCGTTATATACGATCGGGTATACGTGGTGTAGACACCGAAGAATAAAGCGTGATGGTTACACTCCAAATCACGATGCTGTAAAATGTGGCTTTGCCCGTACTGCTACCTAGGTCCGGTTGTCTTGGTTTTTTGAATAATCCTCGCCACGCTTCTACCTCCTCTTCGTCGCTGATTCGACCACATCCGGTGACCGTAGGTCACCACGACACAATCACAAACGTCCCTCGCACACTTTACAGTCCGCTAGCTTTGCTAGAGCACCGGAACGACGAGCTTCTATTCCAATAGAAGAATAAACTCCTATATGTCCTCTTTTCTTCGTTCTGCTTCTACCTCGGCTTCTTTCTATACGACTCTTCCTCGTCCGTAACCCCGCCGCTCGCCAAGCACAGCTGCAGCCACAAGATGGCGGCTCGCGACTTGTTTGTGTTTTTTCCCCGTAGCTGACGCACGGAAGGGCCTCGCTCTTTTGATATTATTTGAGCAGACGCATGCACATATGTATAACCTCTTTCGATTTTATTTACTTCACCCTCCACAATCTTCCTTATGACTTCTTTTCTGTACAGACGCTTCCGTGATCTCACTGAACCGTACGTACGCGGACACTTTTATGTACGCGCACTGCTGCACCCTATTCACGTTCTTTGATATTCTTAAGACACGTTTTTTTTGCTGATATAACCTTTTCGCTCTCTTTGCTTCTGCACTCTCCTTTGCTCAATCACTCGCTCGTTATAGCCGGGCTCCTACGCTCGCACTTGGCAAGTACGCTCCTCTTCCAACACTGTACCTTGTCTTTGTGACGACTGAAGCCTTCCTCGAGCATTATGGGATATCTCCTTGTCGGCCGGGCTTGTCCAATGCCGTGACGCACTTTCTCCCACGTGACGTACCACAGCCAATCAGAGCTCACGGCATTCGGCTATTTTCGGTTAACTTCGGTTTCTTCAGTGAAACAAAGGAATAATATGTATTATCGAATTTATATACTATAATGAAATTGCCGTAGATCTAATGGGATTTTTATAGATACGAAACTGCTTATAAATTTTCTATATTTTTCTAAAGTCGTTAAATAAATTCCTGTTGTTTGTAACGATCGGGTCATCCTTAGTTCGGATTGGTCGAGAACTCTAAATCACGACCGCCAACGATACAGGCCTGAATATATAAAAAATCTACGTCGCTAGACTTCCCATTCTCATATAACCATGGCATACTACTTCCCCTTCCTACCACGGATGGCGTAAGTGTTAACAATTATTGAAATTCATATAAACCAGAATCCGTAATTTTTTACTAAAATGATTATATTGTCATACTAAAAAAAGTCATTCTCTCCATAATTGAATGTATAAAACATTATTAAATATAAATAGATACTACGTTAATAAAATCTACCAAACCTTTACTCCCAATAACAAAAGAATTTAAAAGAAGAGAAAATTCTCGAATAACCATTTCTCACTAGAAGGCTGGAACCAGGAAAAACATAAGAATCATGTCTCCCTCTTTCGTACAAAGTTCAGAATATTTCTCGCATCGAACGAGCGCATAAAGTCACACGACCTCGCAATATTATACGAAGGCCTTCGTTTTTCTCGTAGGTCGTGACTGAGCGAGTAGGAGAGCCGTAGCGACCCCAGTGTTCCCAGTGGCGAGCTGCACGGCCATCGCCGACTGTCGGTTTCGCCCAGCATTAACCAGCGTTTCTGCTATGACGTCGCTCTGATAGCTCGAGATTTTCCCAGCAAAAGGTAGGAGCTTTCCCTCCCGTTGGACGCTCGGCCCGACTTTCTAACCCTGGCACCTGTATATCGCCATCTTCCCTTTCTGCTTCTTCGGTAGACTCTCCAGTGCGAGCTTCTCTGGTGGCTGGGTTTGTGAAATTTTTCGCTGCTGAAAACTCCGATCTACCCGATTCTAGTAACTCTGTCCCGAGACCGTCATCCCCACTCCTTCCATCTGACTGTTTCCACCTCTCACACCTAATTCATCCCCACCTCCATACATAACCTCTCCGTTTTCCTGTCTAACATCAATCCCCACCATCTCTCCAATGTCCCTCCTCCCCTCCAGTCTTCGTTTCAATCGTATTTCCCCTATCGAGAGCCCCACATTCAGTTTCCGATAAACGAAGGATGTATCTACATTCGTCAGATAAAGTCCGCTGTGTCGTGTTTCTGCGATGCACCTGCCAACCCTCATATCCTATCAAACCACTCTCATCCTTTTACATTGTATATCTGTATATGAATTTATTTTACCATCTCTTCTTAATGCTCCACGCGACATAGTAACCAGATGGATCGTTAACCATGGATGTCGCTTTGCAGTCTGATCGAGGGATTACGAAAGTGTATACTAGAACAAAGTGGGGAAGGTTACGCAGTGGGACGAACAGTCGGAAAGTCAGTGAGGAGTAGGAAGTTTCACGTCCTAACCTTAAAGAGGACAGTGGCTACGTAATAGAATCAAGCTGATCGAATGTCCCCATCGTGTAGGACAGTTTTGTCTTTGGCATCTGTGAGCTTCGTTTTCGTCTTGTAGGTTATATTTCGATGTCGGACCCGACGCGGTGAGGAAACCAGTGCCGATTGTGGAGGAAGAGTAGACGGAGAAGAGAGAAAAAGAAAAATATGACGTGTCGTTTATTTCTTGACGTTTTATCCACAAGTGTATTCGGATATATACTTAACTCGCGGACGTCACAGTAACACAAGACTGACTGTGAGAGGTTATCTAGTTAGACTTATTGCGAGTGTATCGCCAATCGATTAAACGTCAATTTTGTAGGAGCATCACGGAATGGCAATGGCTTCCTTGGCCGTATTTTTTTTTACATCTTTTGTAATTCTTGTCTGTTTTGTAAATCTTAACGAAGATCTCTGCTAGCATGATTCAAGGGAAATTCGCATGTTGCACATATTTATATATTATGTATACATATATATTATCTGTAACAAATTATGCCTTTCTGTCATGTGACACTTATCCAATGTGTATAACAATGGCGGATTATAATAAGAATATTCCCAATCGGACTCATTCGGATTTTTTCCAAAACTTTTATGAAGAAACCCATCCCGGGCCTCCTATCGCTGCTGTACTATTTATTTACTCCTGCTTCTTTCCCACCTACTTTCAGTGGAATATGCTGGAGTATAAATTCCCCGCGTGGGCTATCCCCACCATTACTGCCACTACCACCGCCATCATCATCAACAATACCAGCATCACCAGCACCGTTGATGTTGATGCTGCTGCTGCTGCTACCACCGCCGCTCCGCTTACTCCAAGCCTGTTCCTCGTACAGGGCCATTTAAATAGCACAGCGGGTACAATTTTTCGTGAACATTTCGGGTCGCTAATTAAAAGTCTGCACCATATGTTAAATCGTGATAACGGGTATCCCTTTGGCTATTCCTTTCTCTTTATCTATATCTCTCTCTCTCTCTCTCTTTCTTCCCCTCTCTTCCTGTTTCCTCTAGCTCTCACTCTCTTCCAGTAGCTTCGTCGCTTCTCTCTTTATCTACCGCTTCTCCGATATTACCCTCCTCCTCGTTTCGTCCTCTTTGTCTCTCGAGAAAATTCGCGTGTCATGTATACCAACTGCTACTCGTGAAATCGATATTTGAGTCGGAGGTCTGCGAGAGACTTTTCGAAGGGCAGTTTTTAACAGGAATTTTTGTTTTTTTACTCAATAAACCCAAGGGGTAAAAAAAGGTAGGAGTTTGTTTGCTCTTTGGATTTCGCGTCAAGTCCGTAATGGACACCGGTCGTTTGCGCATGCGCGTCATGGTTTTCTCGTACATACGGATACGCCCCTGCTTTTATACCATAGACATTCTGCAGTTGCCAGCCCTGCCTAGAAGATACCTCTTAACAGTTTTGAAATTGATAAGGGGTGCATAACTAACATAGGGGCTGTTTCAGGGAAACTAAAGTGGGTACTATGCCACATTGTACAGTCGTTCGATAGAGAAAGGGTAAGAGACAGAGGTATATACGGGGGAAATAAATTGGAGAGAAAAGCTACGTAGCCGATCTTTCCAAGCACTTTTGAAATGTTCGCGTTACGTAAAATAACGGTTACACCGTACGAAACTTACTTTCCCGTCTGGGATTTCGAGACAGGCCCGTGGGAACTTTGTGTAACGGGTGTGCACGAGAAAAGCGAATCCGTTCATCGACTATTCCACTACCGTTTGACGGTTCGAGACTAGAATTGGGAATTTGACCAATTGCCAGCCCAGTCAAACACTTCCTGGCAGTGTCTCATATGGCTGCGTCATTTCTGTAGGGAGTTTTAGGCATCTCAACCATCCAATAGTAGCTTTTGGCTCTTTTTACTTGAGAGATTCCCTTTGGTCCATGGTCACGGTTCGCATGAGCACTCCCTCGCATTAGGGTCGCCCTCCAGTCCCCACGTTCTTCTGATCTCCACCAAGTTTCTCTCTCTCTTCTCTCGGCTGACTATAGCCTACTCACAGCTCTCCATAATGTCAAAGCCCACGGGTCTCTCCAACGAAGTAGGCCAGGGGCCCCTGCAGGGTCCCTCGATTTATCACCGACTTTTACAATTCCCCTTTAAATCGTGTCGATCGTTTCTCGCTAAATTATCGAACCACTTTCCACTTCAAATTGAGTGCATCGTGAAACTTCGTGCACTTTGAACTCTTTCCATATATCATTCCATACGCTTAACGATACACTCGCGATAATGGAGTTTCGATAGGAGCCATTCCTGTATCTATCTTTACACATATCCTTAGGTACATAAAAATGTGAAAATTCTTATCAGCCATTCAGGGTCTGTATATGAAATTCCATTTACTGTAACGCGTCTCGGGACGGCTCGGGTTTTGTTACTCCTTTTTTTATTTTTGTAACTACGTAAAGACTTATTTTTGCAAAATAAACTGAGCTTGGCAGTATGCATTTTCTTACGTTAAAAAAAAAAACAACTGCGATACTAAAGAATGACTGAGTAGCCGCCATTCGTCCAGATGTTCTAAACTTAATGAGCACGGTGCCCCGTGCGCTAGAGACGTCCCTGCTCTTTCCCCCTCCACCTTCCTCCGCTTCCCCCTCTCCGACTATTCCATACCCCTACCACGGTCACTCGCGTGAATCGTGGTTCGCCTCAGTCTGTCGCGCGCCGCCTTCAGGCGCGGCTGTGTCTCTTTGCACCAGGCGGAGTCCTTCTCAAAGTGGCCTGTTTACTCTGGTCGCGCGCGTGTCTGTTTGTTTCACTCGTGTTCGTGTATCTCTGCGTGTGTCCGCCGTTCTCTCTGGGTTTCCATACTGGCCTGTAGAGGATACGTCGAGGCATGACAGCAACGCGGGAGTGTTACCCCATACGGTAGGGTGTAGAAGATCGTCAGGGTCGATAGTTTTAAGGGGGGTCAATAGTTTTAACTCGGGGCAGCGCCGAGACGCAAATCCCCTGCCCGATAAGACCGCCAAGTGCGTGGGGACGGGACCACTTGGCCGCGAATGTTTTGTCCGAATCGATACGCCCTCCGGCCTCGGTTTCGTGTGCTCTGTGACTCTCCCTGCGACAACCTCGAAAACGCCGATTTCCCATTACGTATTTATCCGACCAACAGAGTCTTCCTCTCTTGTGTAACGGGAGACGCTCGTGCACGTCGTTTGACACGTGAAAATTAAAATGACCATGAGAACGTTATCTTACTTTAGTGACTTTATAAAGAGACTGTACCGGGTACCTCTGCGCTTCCTGCGGATGACGATATAACCTTAAAGGGGAAATTCGAAGCTTCGTTTCGCCCTCTTTTCTTCTTACCTGCTTCATTTCAAACGACCTGACTTCCCTTTCGTATTTATTTCTTCGATATTATCCATTGTTTTCTCGCTTAACTTCTCACCGTACACGTTTAATTCCTCGTCGAGTGTGTATCTTGGTTTGCTGTTGTCTCGCCGTGACTCAGGGCATCCTTAATACAATGTATACTCAAGCTTTCCCGATCTTCTCCAAACTGTGTTTAACTCTCTAGATAGAAATTCTCTTATGTTACATCCGTACCGTTTAAGTTCCATATTTCTGCAACCGTCTCCCCTCTCTGAACTACTGATACGCATTCCAAGCGTACCGCTGTATTGTAAACACGTGACTTGGGAAATCATATTCTTCCCTGAATTCATTGTATCTTCGGTACGTCACGTTCCTGCAAAAGTATTCGGGCAGAGACGGTTGAGCCTGGTAATAATAATAATAATAATAATAAAAAAAAAAGTAATGCCTTTCTCAAGAATACAAACAAGGAACCATTTTACATACTCCGACACGGGTATAACGAAATTTCGGAAAATCGGTACAAGAACGTAATAAATTTTTAAGAAAACGATAATATCGGTACGTACAGCAATAATAGTAGGTATAGAGGGCAGGTGGTAGCCAGGGACAGTCCACCTGGACCTTTTTCTTCAGGCTGTGCATTGCCCAGGACGAAAACGGTATATTTAGGGAATTTCGAGGCTATCTATACAGATTCAAAGAGAAATCTTTGGAAGCACGAACAATTCGATCATTGAACATGTCTTCCCGGACCGATCTGACAGACGCTGCTTTTATTTACTGGCTCGAGTCCGCACGGTGTATCTTTTCTTTTCGTCAGGTACTGCTGCTACCTGGAGGATTCAGTCGTATAAAAGACGTGCACCACAGGGTCGCGAACTTACGTGACCACCCGGTAGAATCGATAAATGTGCAACGCAGGTGGTTGGATCCATCCGGTAGAATGCTGTGTGTAAAGTAGTCTGTATAAAAGTGGGTT